GATTCAGGCAGTTTATAGGATATATTTGACTTTTGGTATGTCTGGAAAAAAATTTTGACCCCATAAAATGGTACACTGACCGAAATTTTTTTGGCGACGGGGGTGTGTGGGTCGCCCAAAATTATCATTGAAAAATAATTTTCCGGTAGATTTTGAAGTTTTGCTCTATGGAGGTGCCCTTGGTGTGCGTCCGCCCCCCTTTGCCTTATTATCGTTCCGGCGTCCCTGAGTGTGCAGATGAACACTTTGTTCATTATGCTGCTTGCTTATTTAATCAATTAACAATCTAAAGACAGAGTAAAACACTAAGTGGGGCAATTGTGGCACATTACCAATTATACACCAGCAGATATTGTACATGAAGTTTTATTCACCCAGTAGCTGACAGTATTTAATTACTGTAAGTAATTGAATACTGTCAGTTATTGTTAGTTCATTCATTTGGCAGTTAATACTGCAGGTATTATTATGTGTGTTGATGTTTTTTCAGACCTATAGATTATATATATATATTAGTACTGTAAAGAAAGCAATTGATGCATCAACACGGAACATAGTGTAATGTCATAGAAATAATAGATATCTATTATTTCTATGTGTAATGTGTAACATATCATTAATTTGTTGTGCAATGTTGTTTTGAAGGTACCTACTACTTGTGAAGACAGTGACAGCAAGCAAGTTGCTGATGATGAACCACATGGTATTGCTTGTTCTGTTAACTATTGTCACTTTTGCTTGTAGGAAAATGTATATAGCTTTGTAACTAATGGAATATAATATCCTATAATGAATGTAATAATCTTTCAGTAAAGATTTACATTTACAAATTCTGGTTCATTTTTAGAAGTTGTAGTGGACACAGTAAATACACCATGGGATATTGAAATCATAAGTATTGATGATGCCACATTGCCGTGGACTATCCCAGACTTCCCTGTTGTGACAATAAACTTTAAAAAAGTTACATTCAAGCAAGGAGACAAGAATAACACTGGCCTGGTTAATGGTGCTGAAACTTTTGCACCAACAAAATATACATGCACAAAACATTGTACTATTAAGTTGCATGATGAAGAGTACACTGTTCTTTGGGAACTAAGACCTTTAATTCAAAAGAAAACATTAAAGAAATCCACAACCGCACGTGATGAAAGCACCAAACCAGTTGCCAATAAGGAGTATCTCAACCAAGTCCAAGAGAAACACACATTGGCATTCAAGGTTCTTGGAACCTGCTTCTCCAAGGAGAGACAAACAAATTTGGAAATGGCATATGAATGCATGGAAAGAAACAGACATGTTTTTATTGACCTTGTTCCCGAACCCGAGAACACACATGACCCAAACGCAATTGCTGTATGCATCATGTCGCAGGACGACTTTGAAAAGGTTGGATATATACCTCGAGAATTAACTGGTTTCATACATCCCCTTATGCTAACTGGTGATATGGACGTCTGTGTGAAGAGTATTCGCTTCAGAACCAACTATCTGCGAGTTGGATATTATCTTACGATAAACATCACAAAAACAGGACTTTGGGATGATGCTGTTGTCGCAGCGTGCAAAAATATCAGATAGATCTGATATTATAACCTTACAGAATACAGTAATAATCTAAAACTTTATTCTTATTGTTGGTTTAATAAATATTTCTACATCTGATCCCTGTAAATTTACACTACTGTACATGTCTTGCCAAAAAGACAAATAAATAAAAATAGAATGTTACTGAATGGTATAACAATTTTAAAGAACACAAAGACAAAATACAGTACTTTGCGAGGACAAAGTATAATACAGGCCATGTATCAAAATACAGTATGCATGCATTACTAAAACTATTATTTTACTTTAAAGCCTAGTTTCCATTTGGCCGTTAGTTGTCGGTGGCACGACAAGCGATAGATGTGAAATAGTTTAATATAATAATCTTTGTTGTTTTATATATAATCTTTGTGTGTCGTAATGATTGCAGAGTTTTGTAAAGTTTTGTTGACACTCTATTACATCAGCCATTTGTCGTGCCAACGACAACTAACGACCAAATGGAAACTAGGTTTAAGTGAACGTGTCCACAGGAGTGCGCGCACAGTTAACTAAACACGGTTATGAATATGAAGACTGGTGATCTTCAAATAGTTAAAATGAAGAAATCCGTTACTTTAATACGCCTTTATGGTAATGTTACTCGCAACAACTTTTAGCGACAACTCGTAGTGCAAACGAAATTGCGCAAAATTTCATTGCCATTGGTTCTGGAACGATTCGCATTACGAGCTCTCGCTAAAATTTGTCGCGCAACATTGGCTTTAGAGGTTCACAGATCTATCTTCATTTTTGTTATGCGCAGAAAAGATGCGCAAATGGTGACACTGTCCCTTTAAGCAGAGCAATTGTTCAGGTTACGGATGGATAACTCAACCACAACATTGCTATTGGTCATGTGGGCGAAAATACAATACACGTGTGACAAGATAGACCAAATTCTTGCATAAATCGGGACAATAGTTATACAGTGTGTCCCCCAAAAAAGTGAAACTATAGAAATTATCTCATTGTTCTTAAGCCGCTCTTAAACGCGCGTGATTACACGCCTGGGAATGTAATGAATTTGTATTTACATGCATTTAACGTTTAACGTTTTCATTTAACGTTTAACATTTAACGTTTTCGCTTTGTCCAAATATTTTAACGCCCGAGTCAAGCAAAACGATTACACTAATAAACGGTTTGCTTTTTTATTTTAAATTCCAGAAGCAGAAGTTTATGCACCTGTGGGATCAACTTAGTGCTAGGGCATTCAAATTATAACAACAGGATAATTTCTATAGTGTCACTTTTTTTTGGGACACCCTGTATTGCACTTTCGTGCAATCGTGGAGTCTCCAAACCATCTATTTAAATAAATGTGTCCAAACCATGTTTACTGTCTATTAATTTACTACAACGTTTCCAGGTGGAATTATTGTGATATAAACCGTGCACCGATTCTATTAACACAGTTAATAAATTGGTATTTACTCGCAGCTGTAGCATTCATGCATCTGACAAATGTTAGTTCTTAATTGCCTAATGGCGGCAGTGCAACAGGTGCTTTGTGGAACGTTGCACGGCACGTCAACTGACCTTTCTGTGGAAGCGATGCCCTGTTTGCTACAAAGACACCAGGGTCACCCCGCCGTGATACATTAATATCATCTAGCCTCTCGATAACGCCAACTCCGCTTGGTTGATTGAAACTCGGGAGTTCGAAATCCCTGTATCTCTCATGCTTTCCTGACCAGTAAAAGAATGGTAGTTCTGAATCAATTCTTTTTGAGTATTCGTTCAAAATTTTCCGAGACTCGTCGTAGAATTGTTTTAGGTCAAACACAGGGCCCAACATGCCATGGAGTAGAGAGAAAAATCCTTCCACATCATCGCTAGATGATGCTCGTGGATGCTCCGCGCTCATTTCTCTTCTCTGATACTCGACCCTGCGTATTTCTCGGCTCTCCAAGTTTGCAACGAGAGCAACCACCAATTCTCGGGTCAGGCCACAAATACCTTTGATGGGTCTACAGAAAAATATAAATTCAATACACAGTAGTTATTTAACACGGTCGTATCCTGGAAATGGGCTTAATGCTCTCGTAGCTACGTTCACACGTCATCCGGTTCCACTTGTTCTCACGAGTATTTGTACCATTAGCTGTGCTCTATTGTGAACAAGTGAAAACGGACGAATTCGAGTGCGGTCCGAGATTCCTCTGGTCTTGTGTGAAGGTACATGTACAGTAATCTAGAAGTAAAACAATTACTACCTAGCTGATGATTACATAAACAATAAAAAATCTTGTACTGTAACAAATGACTGAACTTCTTTTCCTCTCAACCTTATGTTCGCAAAAGGCATTTTAAAAATTCCTTAATGCTGCAGCAAAATATAAAAAACAATTCGTTTACATACTGACTCACCAACCTGTTGACGTCGATCGTTGCAAAATCACACATGTTTCTGTGCCAGGGCATCCAGTCGTCAAGCAACCAGTTCTTCATATCTACCAGGTAGGACGAACGTTCTTCTTCACTAAGACCTCTCCCATCCACTGCTTTGTGCCAATTGGAAATAATTGACAAAATACTCGCTCCTCTCGCATCTCCCTTTTCTCTGAGGAAGGAGACGACAGCTGGCGAAATCAACCTTTCGCAATCTGGTACAGACTGTTTATTCTTTCCCGTGAGAGACTCGTATGTTAAGCCAGTATTTGCATCGTGTAATGCATCCCTGAAGTAACGAAGATCAATACCTGGAATTACACCTTCTCGTAAACAATTTACCAATCTCTTCAAAACATGATTATGGTCTTCGCGGTGATGAACGTACTCGTTGGTGTCTTCGTCTTTTTCAGGTTGGTACAGGAAGTCAGAGAAATTTGCGTGGTTATCTGGTAACCCTTTCAATTTTTGAACTTCCCAACGGAATAAATATATGGCCATGATCGACATTAACAACTCAGCCCTAGTTTCCTTTCTACCTGTAAAATAACCAACATTAAAATTTGATAAACGATTTTCTTATCCGCACGCGCATGAGTAAAATTTTTCATATTATGTTGTACCTTCCACAAATGGACACGGGTCGTAGGAGAAAGGGAATAACGTTCTTCTCAGAATCAAAAGAGCCTGCTCAATTGGCCTAGGTTCCTTTTGACCATTTTTCATATATTCATATAACCACAGGATATCTGCCAGTGGAACTGCGTGATGGTGCTCAACAGTGGAACTACCTAAAAGCGTAGTACAATTATTTTTTGATCACAGTACATTTGTATTTCCAATTTTTTATCGACAACAGACACTCGAAGTCATGTGGATAGGTATTTTCCATTTGAAAATTAAATTTCATTTTTAAAGACACAATCTAACAAACATACCAGTTTGATTCAGCGTAAAATATTTCAAAATAGCTTTCGCCCCGATCTTGCGGGCTTCCGCTTTGGCATTTCGGATGACTTCAATAATTGAGATTGGACGTGTCTTTCCCATAGTTCTCAACGAGTTGAACTCTCCATCTGTGGTAAATCCTGTTAATATAATGTGATCAATGTTGTTCAGTACTATGAAAAACACGGATGTGAATTTACCTGACATTAACCCACCAACAGGAAATACTCTTTCACTTGGTAAAATCATCTGGCATTATACAGAGTAAACTACTGGAGTAGGCGCATTCTGGCTTATGGCCAGTTACTGGGTTGAACAAAACATGTTATATACCAAGTCTCAAATTCCGTTTTTCATGGGCTTTCATTGGACGAGAGGCGGTCCGAAAATCACGATGTTTCCACGTCACCAATGGCAACGGGTAACATTACATTTACTTTTCCCTACTAAGGGAAAAATAACAAAACCGGAAGTGAAGACGTTACGTCCAGTTTTTACTGTTTTTCTTTATTTTGATTGAAATTTTAAGATTTAAAGCGACAAATCTTGTGTCATTTGACACTTGGTATACAACAGAGCACTTATTTATTGAAACCTTGGGAAAACAGTATGTTTTGTGGACCCTCGACCGCTCGTTGTCTCCGGGGCATCAGTAAACAAGTGTTAATTATTAGATCTACTGTAGATGACATACCAACTGGAACCATTCCATAACTTTTCATTGAAATCTCAATCTCAAGTTCTAGCTTGCGCATTTGGTCATCAGTAATTGTCTTGGTAGGCATAAACTGTACTGGAACTGCATATGGTTTCACATTACGAAGTTCATCAGCAAGCATAAATACAAGTAAGTGACTTGCAGAGGATCTTTTCTTACTGTAGATGTCCTTGTAGTACTGCAGCATGTTTTTCTCCAATTCTCGTAGATGTACAACTCCTACATTTTGAAGACCAAGCTTTAAATCATCAATCACGATGTTGAGCTCATCTGTGAATTCATTTGTTTGCTTCAGCAGTTGCTCAAATCCAACAACATCCCATGACAACTTCATAAGCAAGTCATCTGAACAACGGGAATTAGTTAGTTTGCTCTCATACTTTTTTTTTGCAGTCGCCAAACCATTCTTGAGGAACTCAGTGTCATCAACAAACCCGTCAACCAAGATCTTCACATGATCCACAGACAAACTAGATTGTTTTTGAGCACACATCTTCTTAAAAGCATTGCATTTTGATGTATACTCGGAATGAAGTCTGTCCACAGAACCGTCTCCCAAATCTTCATCTCCAGACCATTTCCCACGCACACTCTCTCGCAGACCTTCACGAACATCACATGCATCTGCTTTAATCCACCAACGACCATTTGGGTTGCTGGCTTTTGCATCCTGTAAAGCTTTTACCTTAAAACAAAACAGATGCCCATATAAAATGCACGTAAGTAGATAAGATGATAATCTGTATGGACCCTTTATTTTTAAATACTTCTTTGCTAGAACTTTCTTAATAGAATATTTCAAAACTGGGACATACTGGTGATTCACAATTTCACACTGAGGATGAAAGTTCCGGCATTTTCCAATTGTACATAACCGATCCATTTAGGTATGATTCCATGAGTGAAATTTGTCGCGCGAACTGCATAAAGTATATTCTTTTTCTTATGAGCTCTCAACTGGAACTAATGACAGATTTAATAAATTCTTTTCAACTTAAACAATAGTTTAAGTTTCGTGTGAAGATAATTGCTTGTGGAATCAGGCATTTTCAGCTTTTGCATGCTTTCGAGTCTTATAATATATTATCTGATCTACCGATGTTACACAGGGTCTTGTCAAGAGCAAACAATCAAAATTCCAATCAAGTATAAAAAATATGATAACATTAACTTACAAATTGAATTCTTACAGTACCTGGATGTTGGCTGATTTTATAAAACCAGAACAAGCAATGCGCTTCTGAAGTTGACGTACTCCAATTGCAGCTACATTTACTTTGGCCTGAAACAAAGTGACTTAAAGAATAAATACTAACAAAATCATATCTGCCTACAGCCATACAAAACATAATCAGTACATTATTAGATATAATCTTGCATGGGGATAGGTAGCAACGTTAGAAGTAGTTGCAAAGAGTCGGTTATTCAACTGCTTGAAAAATAAGAAAACAATTTCCTAGACATTTCAAGCGAAGGCTTTATTGGCTAACTTCTTAACAAAGGGCTTTCGCTCAAAACGTTAAAAAATTATTTATATAGTAGTTGAATTATAACTGACTCCTCAATTACATTATTTTGGCATGGAATATTGTATTTCAGTAAAATCAACTGAAAAAAGCACACCTAATGTGAGTTTAACCTAAGGTTAGTACACATTGTCTCGATTCTTATTGTTCTTGTTCTCTAATTATTACAAATTCCAAGGGTTTGTCTAGATAAGGATAAACCCTGGCAACAGCTGGATTTATCTCGAGAAAGCCCACTATTCCTGGGCTGTATCGATCTGTATAAAACCCTTGAATTTATAGCAAGGAGGTGAAGAACTACAAATTCTAGGTAATTTGCTCAAAAGCAATTATAAAAAATTCATTCCTGTTTAACGCCCAAGTACAAACTCGAGGGCACCATCCTCTTTCTCTTATTACAGTAGTTATACTAGTTAATTACCTCGAACGGTGGTTTATTAGCGAAAATAATCCCTAAAGTGCATAACATCAGAAAACACCATCGGCCCATACAGCCACTGGGATGCTTTCTTCAGGATACACCCCTCCTGAATGTTGTATTTTGCTAAGAAACCTCATTCTCATTCTACTTTGAAATTGAATGAAAATACACAATCATAAATAGACTAGAATAAATAAATTATACAAACCATTCTTGTATTGTATTTGTTTGGATTACCAATCCTTCTCTTATTTGAAACTGGGTGTATGTTGTGGTGCTCCTCCATGCATTCAGGTGAGATCTGCTCATTCTCAATAGCTTGACGATCTTCGTCATTTAGCTGTGCCCATAGGTGGCTTCTATTTAGTTGTTTCTGGGTTTGTGTTCTTATGGATGCAGAAGTGCTCTCTAAAACTTCTCTGTCTAAATTCTGCTCATCAACAATGATATCTGGCTCGTTATTGGTATCATTCAATATCTGCATCGATGCTACTTGTTCACTCAAATCAACTGTGCTTGTTATGTCATCATATTCCTGGAAGGTGTTAACGTTATGTTCGCCTACTGGTTCTTGGTACTCACTCAAGTCCAACGAACATTCTCTCAGAGCAGTACCAATGATTGATTCCAGTCCTGCATCAGTTGATATTTCATGGACGTTGGTGCTGCATATCTCCTGACTGGCATTGGAAGGTAGGGATACATCTGAACATTCTTGAATTTCATACTGCCAAAAGGGCCCTCTGAACAGGCACAGCCACTTCTGACCAAAATGGGCAAGCATGGTCTCAAGCCAGAGAGCATAGTGTTTCTCAATACCAAGTTTCTGTGATGATGATGATGAGAAAAACCGAACATTATAATCGATTAAACCAAAGGGCATCCTGTCAATTGGCATCCGGGTTTCTGCTTTTTCATGCTCACGATTGAAACACTTGGAGATATGATAAACAAGGTTATGCTTGCCTTTGTCGTACAATACTCTCATTGCTGAAAGACTTTTGTCAAGAAAATCGTGTTGCACAAATGAATAAAACGAATTCCCACCAGAGCTAACAACCAAATGTTTAAACAAATATTGTAATAATTGCTTTCGAAGACGTTCTGACATTGTATTTTCAAAAGAAGATATGAAGTTTTGAACTGTATTTCCCAAGGATACCTTAGCTGCTTTCTGGGGTGAACAGCTAAAAATTGGTGATAAACATTCATTTATTTCACTGGTGGTCTGCTTTGCTGGGGTTGAATTGGAAACAAAGTCTTTGGAATTGGTTGCACTGGTAACATAATCAATATTATAGAATTCCTCTGCATCAGACAATGTTGCAAACTTCTTAACCAAAAATTTTGTGACTTTAGTCCTACATGATGAGCCTACAAAAAAATTTAATTCATTAAGCACAGAACAACAAGCAAGCCCCCCCCCTCCCCCCTATTACTGTCGGTTTGAAGTTTCGCAAGATTGTTACAGTACCAACTTCGCATTCACTAATTTAGGTATGAAAATATTAGGTATGTAAAGTCACCAAACAATTATACAGATAAAGATACCAAACAATTATACTGTTGCATTTATTTTATGGAACCTATTGGAGATTCCAAAGTTGTTATAAACCGCACATTGGGCACCTGTTGGCTGTTGCCAGAAGGGCTATTGTTGTGCTTTTTTCCAACTGCTCCAGCCGACATTTATGTCTGGCATTCGGTCGTTCCAGAAAAGATCCTAACTCCCCCCATGGAGGAAATTTCTGCCGTCCAGAGGGGGAGGAAATATTGTTTCTGATATTAGTAAATGTATTAGGACATCCTAAGGGGGTAGGGAGTTAACTTCCTATTTCCTCCGTGGGGGAGGTATGGATGTTTTCTGGAATGACCCATTAATGTGTTAATGATTTTTTCTGGAAATTGCAAACTCCAAAAATCTTCAACATCAAATTCTTTTGAACAAAATACACCAAAAGTGAAATTCTTTTCCACTGTTAACTGTACAGAAACCTGCAATATACCATCTACACAGCTAATGCAAATACAAACTACAACTGTTACAATAGATTTACGAAATTAATATATGCAACTGGAGATTGAAATAACCAACCTGTTCGAGAAGTACTACACATTTTATTGACAGATACCGCACATTCATTCCAAAATTTCATGTTTTTTGTTTTTGGCCATTTATCAGTGTGTGCATCATCCCAATACAAGCATATGTGCTGAACCAATGCAGCCAATTCTGCAGTCACCCAAACAGTACCATTGACAAATTTTTGGCCATCTCCCTGAATCATGTTATTATCAAACAATGACTTTTTAACTGTGTTGCCTTTCCCGTTTCTCTTTCTCTTTGTCTTTTTTTTCCCAGGCGTATTCCCCTCTGGAATGCATGACCGCTTTCCCAACATGGCAGTAGAACTTGACAGATCTTCGCAGGAAGACCTAAAATCAGCACAGAAAATAGCATGAAATGAATGTCCCCAAAAGGTACAAATTCAAGGGGCGCTAGAGGGCGCGATCATATAAAGGACACGAATAATTATCGTAGATCACATAAAGTAGAAACTCGAACCTGGTTCATGCACAGTTAACCTGCTATATGCAAATTTAAAGACACCTTTGAAATCGGGCAAAATAAAAGGGTTTGAAATGACATGATATTTTTGATAGAATTCCAAACGTTGTCGATTTAAATAGTACGAAGAGATAAAGTTCCGATGTGTAGCTTTCTTTTTAGTCAAAATTGCAAAGTAAAAACTCTGAATAGAAATAGAAAATCAATTCAAAACTTACCTGTCTTTCTCTTCCGAATCCGCCATCTTGAAGAAAACCAAAAAATAATGCATTGCGGTCGTAGTCGTACTGAAAAGTGCCAACCTCGTCCCCAGGGTCTTCCTCGTGGTGGCGCGTGAGCTGAGGAAGACCCTGGTAAAATACGATGAAATCTCCAAGATTCTTGGAGATTTATCGCATGCGCAGTAACGACAACGTTATGTTGCTGACTACAATTAGCGCTGGCGCTTACGATTTTCTTGCTTGAAAATATACATGTTTTGTTGATTGTTTATGGATTTATTCTCAAAGTTTTAAGAACTTTTACGAAAAATACTTCAGATATAAGCTGTGAACACACATGTACACAAAACTGTGCAACATTCATCATCATATTGTATCAATTTGTCGGAGTATGGCGCTCAAATTTGTGACATTGTTTTGTTCGCTTTGGCAACCCTCGTATATATCAGATGCTGTTCGGCCTCAAATGCGACTGAATAAACACTGATAGTGTTGCCTGGAATATGAAACGATATTGAATGATTGTTCCGTATATCAAGGTACGTACTGTACATTTATACTGGATTTATTTTCACACGAGTTTCAAACTATTTCAGCTTTATGAACAATGAGATCACATCACTAACATACAGAAAGACTCCATATTTTCTCATCAAATCTGATTATCGTTACAAGTAACAGTAGAAATGCTTCAAAATTTATTCTGTATGTAAAGCAGGCCAGCATGTTTCATTTTCCTTGGTAGTCACCACTCACCATTCCAAATAGGCCATTCCATTTAATAGCCCCCCCCCTATTGTCTATCGAGGTCTGGATATCCTATATGAGGATTTTATAGAAGGGGGTTTTACCTTAAATTTTTGTGGAGGGTAGCTTAAGAGATTTCCTAAAAATTAGGTGTTTTAGTGATATCCAAAGGGGCAGGAACAATATCCTAAAGGGGTAGAAAGACATCCATAGGGGTTCCAAAATTGCATCCAATGGGGTTCCAAAATTATTAAAAGGTATTATGAAGAGACCCCTCAATAGGGTGTGGGGGGGGGGCTATATTAGATGGAATGGCCCAGTGTGCTGCAACAACTTTTAAAATTTGTATATATGTTTTTAAGGCACAATATGTGATGGAGTTTGATATGATGATCAGCACAACCTGAAGGTCTTGACTGAATGAACAACTTATCTGATATACTCCTACTTCCAATATTTTGTTGTATATTATCACCAGCTCAGATGTCAGTTGGATCACTTTGAATGAACATTGGAGTGGCACAATAAAGTGTCTGTATTAGGGAGGAGTCTATAAGGACTGAAGTAAAAGGCACACTTTTGGATATTAATCTGAATCATAGCAACTACATATACTGTAGGTTTCAAATTAGTTTGAACAATGAACAACTGAAAATAGAAATTTATTTAATTGGAAACACTTAAAGGAATTACAACATATTATATGATAGTCATATGTACATGATTATAGGTATATTCATTAGTTTTACTAGCTGATATTTATGACTATCCTGGGACAACATTTTATTTTTCCAAAGAGATTTTACTTGCATGATAGTAATAAGTTTAATAGTAACAGAGAAGTGTGATGGATATGTGCAAGTAATTATCATTAGAAATACAAAGATTAAACTGTAATTTTGATCATTGCAAATATTATTAAAGAAACAAAATACAAAAGTCACACAAGGCTATTTAACATAAGATAGTCATAATATTAGACTGGTTAAAGAACTACTGAATAGAGGGATCATGAAAATCTTCTAAGATTACTACCATAGCTCTGTAACAGGAAAAGGTATAGTGAGTTAAGGTTTCTTCACCTTGATGAACAAAATTATATAGCATTAGAAAACTATAATGCCATCAACTAATTCCCATTTAAAAATTTTCATGTTGGTCACTGTGAAATATAATCTTGAGGCCATCTTAATGATTGTTTACTATCTGATTGATGACATGATTATATATATTTCCATGGAATTCAAGTTGTTTTTTCCCCAAGTTCATGTAAAATATGGTTCACCTGTTAAAATAATAAAATGTTTATTAGTTGTTTTGTAACAGAACAGTACCTGCTTTAAAGAAAATATAGGAAAGAGAAAATTGAAATAACAGTTGTACACTGTATATGGAAAACAGAATAAAATCTTTCTAAGCATTCCTACTACGTACTGTTATCATAATTTGATTAACTGATGAGATAATATGAAGTTTTTCTATATGTTAAAAACTGTGATTTCTGAAGAAGTCTTGCTGTATGTGTGAAACTGAGTTTATTAGAAAATGTGAAAGCAACGTGTGAAAAAAATCGAATAAATTCAGTATAAATGTACATTACATACCTTGATATACAGAACAATCATTCAATATCATTTCATATTCCAGGCAACACTATCAGTGTTTATTCAGTCGCATTTGAGGCCGAACAGCATCTGATATATACGAGGGTTGCCAAAGCGAACAAAACAATGTCACAAATTTGAGCGCCATACTCCGACAAATTGATACAATATGATCATAAATGTTGCACAGTTTTGTGTACATGTGTGTTCACAGCTTATATCTGAAGAATTTTTCGTAAAAGTTGTTAAAACTTTGAGAATAAATCCATAAACAATCAACAAAACATGTATATTTTCAAGCAAGAAAATCGTAAGCGCCAGCGCTAATTGTAGTCAGCAACATAACGTTGTCGTTACTGCGCATGCGATAAATCTCCAAGAATCTTGGAGATTTCATCGTATTTTACCAGGGTCTTCCTCAGCTCACGCGCCACCACGAGGAAGGCCCTGGGGACGAGGTTGTGCACGAACCCAAGTGGGTGAAAATTTGTCTCGAACAAACATAAACTTCCCATCTTCCCCTGCGCGCATAAATTAAAAGCGGAATTTGTGATAAAACGCGGAGTGGAATAAAACGTGGAATTGGGAAGAAACGCGGAAATAGGTTATTTTGAAAGCGATATCAAAGAGATATACATACGCTTATAAGGGGTAGCAGCTATCCGCTTTACATTTCGACATGTACCGTGCATACTTTTAAGAAACATATTTGAAGATTGCAACCAATATTTTTTAAACGTTTTTTGGCTGCAGTTTTGTCATGCAAATTTATTTTCATGCATTTTCCGAATATGGCATACGAATTCTATCATGTGAATAAGTTTCCCAAATAATATTTATCACAAAAATATATTTAAATCGCAACTATATATAATTATATAATATATATATAATTTTAACCTAAAATTGAGTCACAACTCTGAGTTTCACGCCAAGTACGATCATCAGGTGACGGTGTTACAAGTGGGTGAATCTTCCGTATGATGTGGAGTTTAACCATTTCATTTGCTACGAGTATATTTTGCACTTATTATAGATCCCTGCTCGAGTACTGCTGTCCGGTATGGCATTCATCATTGACCACCAACTTGCTCTCTCCTCCGCAGAGCCTCCTTAAGTATTTACAAATAACTTACATGAAGTTTCCTGAATAAAAGTGAGTGCGCGCGGTGTGAGTGGGAAGATTGAAATGAAGTTGGGGAGGCTCTGCCAGATAATGCGACAAAGTATGGTTTTTGAACCAAACTAGTTGTTTGACCTTTTTTAAACTTGAAATATATTAATCGACGGAAATGTGAAAGAAATTGAAATGAATCTTCCTAATCTGAGTATCGAAGTTCAATTGAGTCATTTTTATAAGAGGATATTTATAATCAGATAGCTCGTGTTATTGATATTCGTTTGCAATTTCTCAATATTTTTCGATGCAAATGGACAGAAGAAGATATTGATATTGAATTCACCCCAAGATACTCAAGTACGCCCGAAAATGAAAGTCGAAAACATGTTTTACTGTAACACCCCCGATGGTTGATCGAACTTTGCTACAGCCGATTATATACGACGCCATATTGATTGCATTAACTCGCAGAGGCTTCCTTTATTTAGCTTTTCCCATTACTCCTTGCGCGCTCACTTTTCCCTCACTAGAAACTTCATGTAAGCCTCTGGGGAGGAGAGAGCATCAACTTGTTAGATAAAATTGAACCAGTCCGGAAGCGCACAATGCGAATAATCTATCCTACATTAAGCTATGACGCCGCTCTGGACCAAGCTAAATGTTCGGACATTACGCGCAAGACGTGATGATTTGAGCATAAAAACTTTTGACAAAATGAGACAGCCTGATTCACGACTTAATCATTTAATACCACCTTCTCGGGCCAATGAACACAATTGCAATTTAAGGTACGGAAATAGAATAACACTTGTTTCCTTTTTTCCTTTTTCCCTGTAAATTTTGTAAATTTTGTAAATATAAAAGTACATTTATCTTCCGATATTAATTCGGTAAAACAATTGTTGTAATAGATGCATAAAACAATTGTTGTAATATAATGCCTGTAATACAAGGTACGTTTAATATTTTTAAGTAAATTTTGTAAATAACTTCGCAATTCGCTTTCCAGCGCGACGATTTTATAATAAACCCTTGATAATGATAATTGATGACTTATGTTTGGATTATAATCCAATCACAAAAGGCAAAGTAACCAACCTACTTTTTTCAATAAATTCCACGTTTTATGACCTTTTATAGCCAATACAACGCGTTTTATTTGCAATTAGCCTTTCTCACGCCGCCATTTTTAGTCTGCGAGATAAGTCCACATAACAGCGACTTGTTATAATTTTTTGGACGAATGATGGTAAATTTGCTTTGTGGATGGTTAGTTTATTTTGAAGAATTGCTTTTCATATTGTTTTAATTGTCTGCATTGGTTAACGAGAACTATTAGATGCCACTCAAAAAAATGGCGGATATTCGTCATCGTGAGAAAGGCTAATTACGTGCGTTTTATCAAACGATTTACTTGTATCAAAATAAAATATTTACATTTTGAATTATATTAGAAAGAATATTTAATTAAGAAGACTACCTGCTACCTGTAATAATCATAATGTATAAATAAGATCAGACAGAAGAAACAAGTCTGACTGTATTTAAGAAGTTCTTTTAGCTTTTCTTCTTTTATTATTTCACTATTTGTAGTTAATATTACTGTAGACATCCGTTTCTTTTGAGATGAATGGAAAATACCAAAATTTGGTTTATTTACGTTTAGAGATTGGAACACAGCCATATGTGGACTTTCTGCAGTTCAACGTTTAAAACCAATTCGAGATCAGATAATTTTTTTTATCAGAGTAGAATCTGAAATTGGCAGTGTCTGCAAAAAGATAAAAATCAAGTACATTAGAGCTGTTAGTAAAATCATTAATATTTAATATAAATAATAGATGACCCAGCATGGATCCTTGAGGCACAGCGCACGAAATTGATTGCTTGGTATATACACTACTGTCACGCACACATTTACTTGGATTCTTCCACTAAGATAAGAAGTAAACCGATCCTTAATAACCCACTGACTCCGGCCATAATGTTCCAGTTTTTGAATAAGGATTTCATTGTTAACTGCATCGAAAGCTTTACTAAAATCTAGTAATATTCCACAAGAATACTCTTTATTGTCAATTGAATTATGTATTTTATCAACAATACTCAAAACAGCATGATGTGTGGAATGTTGTTCACAAAAACCAAACTGCTTTGGGTAGAGTCTAGATTTCTTTCTAATGCAGTCAATCAATCTATTATACCCTAGTTTTTGTAAGAGTTTACTGAACACAGAGAGAAGCGAGATTGGTCGATAATTCCCAATATTAGACCGCGCCCCACTTTTAAATACTGGCACCACTCTTGCTAGTTAAAAGTTTTCAAGAACAATGCCTAAATTGAATGAAAAATTAAACAGTATTTATAAAGGTTGAGAAATAACGGATTTAATGTAAGTTTTATATTTCAAATGATAATACTGGGATTTAGTTTTTAAATTTTGTTATAGAGGTCATTCTTTTTCAAAATAGAATTTTTAATAGCAGGTGTTATCCAGGGTATATATTTACATTTTAGCTGGCTTTTTGACATTTATTTCAGTAATGGGTATATGAGCATCAACAATCTATATAGAAACTGTCAAACATATCATCGGGATTGGTATTACCAGAAAATATTTGTTACCAATCAATTGCTTGTATATCATTAACTAAAGCAGTTTCACTAAAATTAGAATAATCTCTCTTAAATATTTAATATTTTAACATTCGTAGGTAAAGATGGAAAGTTTTTAATAATTAGAAAGTTTGGTAAATGATCAGTTAAATCCATAGATATATTATATACACTAGATAGTGCATCTAATTATTCAGCAATTCAAAAATTGAAGCCGTGATTGCAGACTCAGGATATTCCCATGAAATGAGAAGACTCGTATGTTTTCTATTTCTTAAACAGAGAACTTAAACATTAAGTTAAACGTACTCCAAATACATTTTCAAACTATTTAAATAATGAAAGTTATTGTTGTTTTTTAAGCGTTTATTAGCAAGTGGGAACTACCAACATGGCCGTCATTTATTCAAATGGGGGAAACCGCTGGAATATTCTTGGCTTCAATTTTACTAAATTAAAAGAGATGCGCTATCTAGTGTATATAAGATATCTATGGTTAAATCAATTGAGTTAAGAAAACTAGTTCAAGCAGGATGTCGTCAGAGTCTTGTGGTGGTGGACGATGGGGCCCTCCTAGGGTCATGCTGTGGTGGAAGATCTAGGACCTGGACTACATCAGCTGCAGGTGGTGGAGGTCGTTGATTTGGCTGTGGTAATGTGTGGTGCTGCACGAGACCACCAGCGGTTTTCCTCTCTTGCGTTCTGAATCAATAACTTCATATCACCATACACTCATTTTTTTGGCTATGGTAAGCTCTCTTTGCACGTGGTGGTTCATGACACCGTTTATTGTTAGTATTGCCCGTACAGTTCTAAAAATTTTCTGTGCGCGTAATATAGGTATACATTGACGTTAACCTTCGAGTAGCTCACGTTTATGATGAAACTATGAGGGTTGAACATTTGGCGTTCTAGCAGGTGGTTGAGGCGTTGGTCAGAAGCGTCATTCTGATGGGGATCTCTATGTGCAAACCACCGACAAGGTGAGGATATGGAGGATCGATGCCAGCCTCTGGGAGAGATTCGCTCCTTGACGGGTGTTTAAGGGATCAGTGGTGATGGGTTCAGGTTAGGGTTTACCAGAGGTAATGAAATCAACTGATAATGACACCGTGATAAACCTATCAAAATTTATGTAAAGTCATGCTAATAATACTCTTATGTAAAGTCATGCTAATAAAGTCATTTGTTACTGTCACTACTTTCTATAGAAATAAAAATTGGGAATCGAAATTAAGGATGGAGGGGAACGATATGGATAGCAAATTTTGGAACCAGGGCAATGATATGATACAAAGCCAACGAAGGGCCAAAGGAGGTAGAACAAGGTTGCCTGCAAACGAGGCTACATTCCGCTTTCAAAGTTCTTTCGTAAATTATTTTGGGGGCACCCCCTACACCTAGTGTCTGTCCTTGAAGGAAATGGCTATTTATTGGTACAGTTACTCTCTTTCTTTCTATTCTTTTTCTTTCCTTCTTTTTTCTTTCTTTTCTTTCTTTCCCCCTTTTTCTTCCTTCCCTTTTTTCTTTCTACATGCATAAAAATGTTCTAGGACCAATAGTCCCATGGTCCGCTATATTTTCCACACCTCGGCTGAATGATGAGTTATTCTTGTAGGCTGAAAGAAGTATATTTATGAAATTGTCTGTAACAGCATGGATTTTAAATTTTAGAAGATCTAAGTTAAGACAATAGTTTTTGTTATAAATGTAATGACACTAAATGGGAGGATGGTCGCGCGGGGGTTGGAGATTTGATCAATTAAATGCTGCTTTTATGCCAAATTACTTTTCCGCAATTCTAGATCCGCGTTTCATCCTTAAGGCCATTTTCCACTAGGCGGAATTTTCCGCGCGGAGCGGAATTTTTCTTTGTCTTGTGAGTTCTCAGGTGGAACTAATTAGAAAAAACAAAGAGAAATTCCGCTCCGCGCGGAAAATTCCGCCTAGTGGAAAACGGCCTTAACAAGGATACGCGCGAAACTGGTGTCCGCCTAGACTTCAAGTTTGAAAATAAAAGTTTGAAAATAAAAGTTTGAAAATAAAAGTTTAAAAATAAAAGTTTGAAAATAAAAGTTTGAAAATAAAAGTTTGAAAATAAACGTTTAAAAATAAAAGTTTAAAAATAAAAGTTTAAAAATAAAAGTTTGTTTGAAAATAAAAGTTTGAAAATAAAAGTTTGAAAATAAAAGTTTGAAAATAAAAGTTTAAAAATAAAAGTTTAAAAATAAAAGTTTGAAAATAAAAGTTTGAAAATAAAAGTTTAAAAATAAAAGTTTAAAAATAAAAGTTTGAAAATAAAAGTTTGAAAATAAAACTTTGAAGTTCGTTCGTAGTCAGGAAAAAAGCCTGCGAAACCGCCTTCTACGCAGGCTGATATTTACATTTCAAAAACGTATTAAATTTGTGAGGAAAACACAAAGAAAAATCATAACATAAGCGCGTCGTTTACATGTGATAGAGATTTCCCTTGATTTACATAAACTTTGACTTTGATTTTCTCGACTTACACAACTTATTTTTTGAAAATTACGTTGCCAATGACCGTAGTATAGAGCGATCGTTTTTGAAGCAATTTAAAATACAGTGCCGATGTCTTCTTTATTATCATACCTAAAGAGTAAAGATATTCGGCTTCGCCTCCTATTTTATATCTGATAAAACACTGCTGATCATGTATTAAATAGTACTAAAAAACTCATTTAGATAAACTTTAAGTTACTGAATTTTCTCACCAAATATCATTCATTGAATATTTAAAATTGTTGAAGAATAAGAATGTTCTCAAACGTTTGATCACAAGTCATACGAAGTATCGCGTACATGCTGTTACATTGTTGTCCCAGACATACACGTACCTCTTGTCTTTGGCTCAAGTTTGTACATTTGATACAACACGGCCGCTCATGCTTTATCTAGATTGTAGACATAAAATTTACATCCGCAGTGCGTGTTTTATCAGACTTATAAAAGATACTCGGCTTCGCCTATAGTACTTCAAACTTTTGAAGACCATGCATGTCAAGTCCGCGTAAATTCGTAATGTAAATAAATCCTTCGACGCTTTGTTTATATTTCTGACTGCTATATATTTGTAAAATAAGACATACTATTAACTAAATATCTGACAGTTTTCTGGTTCGCTATTGTAAATGAATATAAACTAGAGTACGTTTCAATTCAAAACAGTTCGAAAAATGCAAAATTTGGGCAATATTTATTTCAGTGGGTCGCCCTTTGTTATGAACAGAACTGATGTGCAGAACCACGGTTAATCGAAGGAGACTCCTTCGATTAACCGTGGCAGAACGAATTTGACAAGGTCTTTAAACATTAAAAAAATCCAAATATATATCAAAAAATCAAAAAATCAAAAAATCAAAAAATCAAAAAATCAAAAAATCAAAAAATCAAAAAATCAAAAAATCAAAAAATACAAAAATCAAAAAATCAAAAAATCAAAAAATCAAAAAATCAAAAAATACAAAAACTGTTTTTGTGCTGTCGCGTCTGGGCCACCGTAATATATAGTATCTGGTGTTCCATCAAATTTCCACTTTGTTTTATGTCAGTATTGTATTCTGGGTTGAAAAATTGGAAAAATAGGATAGAGAATGTTTCAAGAGGACTAGTAACAGTTTCCAATATTCTTCAGGGACATAACCAATAACCATCAATCCATTAGACAGTAATCATTATAATTAATGAAGAGCATATATAGCCGTTGATAACCTCCTGATAACCAAAGTAATGAGCAAAATTTCACAGATGACATAGTCATAGAGAATATGTTGCATGTGCAGGTCCATCATTACCGAATCATCAACAGCACAGTATAAATAAGGGGCCACTGACGTCCATGTTCATAGTGTTGCCGCAACATGTCGAATCGACGTTATTATTTCACCCATCCACCCATCCATGCACCCACCCCAGATAACGTCGATCGATATTCAGTCGTATTTTGACCGCTAAACTCACAATTGTTGTACCGGCTTTACTATACCGTCAATGGCTGGGATTGTATTTTGATACAATATTTAAATACGGTAGTCGCCAGAGTGGCAATAAACAAATAAAACCAAGATATAGCCGTTCGGTCCGTTCTCAAAATTGAAATGTCCATAATACATGTCATATTCTTGTTGGTAGAAGGTGGCAACCAAGGTAAATTATAAAACAATCTTTTACTGGTGACCTTGTTTACATGATATGTCTACAAAACTGACAGTCTACAAAATTAGAAAAGTTTATAGCTATGTTCATGAGTCATGACAGTCTACAAAATTAGAAAAGTTTATAGCTATATTCTTAACCATAACCTGTGGAAGTTCCGTTGAACATAGCCTTCTGCATATATATAGCCTATATAGGCGTAAAAAATTTGGAAGTATAGAAGAAACAGAATAGCGTGTTAAAATCTAATACCATGCCGGTTTACAGCTTCCAACTGTCTTGGTGACCTTATAGCCTTAGTTCAACCTGATTCGTTCTTTAATTCGTTGTTGTTAGACCAACAAAAATACGTAATTCATGAAGAGTAAGTCCAAGAGTACAACATATCATGAAAAAACACAGTACAATTGAATTCGGTGAAAATTTTGCGAAATTGCCAGAAATATTATTTGCCCACTCATCACGCAACCGCCATTTTGAAACTGCTTGCACACTGAACTATATAGGTCACTGAAGCATACTCGCAAAATCACCCATAATATCCATAAAATACACCGATATACCTGTGAAATGTTCATTAGTTGTGATGCTCGACGGAGCAATTAGCTTAGTTTGATTCCAGTAACAGTATATAGAATTCATTCAAAGTTCAAAGCAAGAAAAAGTTTCGTGACACGATTCATCCCGGTGGTTAGCCGAGCTGGCGCGGCTCAGATGAACAGCCCTCTTAATATAAATTTTACAGCTCCGCAACTGGGGAAAATCTTCCTAGAGAATGCATTGCGAGTGCATGCAAAACACAGGACCACCCAGAGAATTCGCGGGGTCCGGGACAAATTTTTTCTGGGGGCCGCATGACTATGACATCATTATTTTTAGGCTAGACCCAAGTCAGTCATCCTCAACTAGACCTCATGCTACATTTCATCTCACTGTGACTGCAGCAGAGCAGAGCTGCTGTAAGGGGCCCTCAGTTTCAAACATGCTCTCAACAATTTAAAGAACCTACGTACTCAACGAAAGTACACAGACCTCTCGCTCTCAAGTTCGGAGGCCCTATTAAGGTGGGGGCTGGGCGCCAATTTGCTCCCACCCCCTCGGCGTCCCTGGCAAAACATAAAGATAAAACTTTTAAAGTGTACGAGATTAACACTATTAGCCTATTCGTGTAGTATTAAGCTAAAACGTATAGTTGAAACACTCACATCAAACCTTTATTTTTTAATCTAGAGTTTGAAACACTAGAGTTCATCTAAGAAATAAATTAAGTATTATTAGTAGTCAATAAGTTCTTTTAATTACTGGACGTAAACGTGTAATTAAAACTAAATTATTTTGTTTTTAATTTTATTGCAAAACACTGTCAAAAAATATTCTAGAAACTTTATTAATAAGTATTAAATAATCATTGAAATCCCGCTTTCATCTTTGCGCTCATTATAAAATAAAATAATTTTATTGCCAGCACTCTTCATAGATTATTAAGCCGTTAACATCGATCGATTGAACAGCGAACCGACTCGACCAGTGCGACAACGCCTTAAATAAACAGAATGTGAGGGCTGGAACGAGGTAGCAACGCCATCCCACACTTTTGTAACTCAACGTTCATTGGCTGATACAAATCACGCCACTTGCTAGATCACGTGTACAAAGATCCCCTCAACCGTTAGTACAAAAAGGCGTGCACAATCCAAATTTGTCAGTGGACTCTCGAGTGGACTCAACGAAGTAAAAATTATGTATGAAAAGTTGTAGAAAGCTCAAACGAAACAAGACGAACACCGAACACGTAGTAAAGACGAACAGTGAACAACCAATTAAGGCTAAGGAAGAAAGAAGAGAACTTGGAAACAGAACGATCCAAATTAAGACAATAGTTTAGATAATTACAATTGATGTAACGATTCACTATACTAACTAAATAAAATCTTGTAATACCAGTGACGAGGACAATAATTACTGGCAGTTACGAATTGTTACAGTGGACATTTAATGCTCTATAGATTAACAAAATAAAGGTTTGATGACGTGTTCCTACTACGCTTCAACTAAAGGAATACATGATAGTTTTGGGAAAGCGTTATAAGAACAGCTAAACCAAGGTCGCGTGACTGCAAAATTTCATGTCCTCAGACTCAGCTCTCATTCTCGGTCGATCCGGCGGACTTTTAAGTCTTAAAAGACTCTACTCGGTCAATAAAATTGTCAAATAGGCTCAATACACACAAAAGAACTAGAAAAGTGCGAAAGCAATTCAGATTTATTCTTGAG